AGATAGACAGTGTCTTATATTATTGCATACTTTTTTTATATATATTTATTTCAACTTCTTCTGTTGTAGGCATTAATGGACAAATTATTGATTCCGAAATAAAATAATGAATGAATGATTGAAACTTTTTGAAATACAATAAACGTTTCTACACATTGAACATTGACAAGAAGACAAGAGACAAAACTATTGGCCAATCAGAAAACTGTATTCTTTCTCATCGTATTTTTTGTACACAAAAAACAAACGTGAACATAGGCCTACCACCTGCTTTCACACTTTGTTATGAAAATGTTCACTATTTTCCATGAAAGAAAGAATATCCACAAACATCATATGGAAAAGAGACCAAAAGCACAAAACAAAGGTAAATGTTAACTTCAAGTTTGTTTTTAAAAGCATATAAACGAGTAGGACGCAAGTTCAAGTTAAAAATATTTGCAGGGCCTAGCCTAGTTAGGCCTACCTTCTCCTCTTCCTAGTAATAGGGCCAAGGCCTTAGCAACAGCCGTGGGGAAAATGGTCAGTAAAATGTGTAGGCCTAAAATAGCTTAGGCCTAGGCCTAGAACTATCTTTATTATTTTGTTTTTAATCGATCTGGTTTGTCTTATGTAGCATGTAATGAACTAAATAAATGTTGTATTATTAATATTATTCAAGTAAGCCTAAGCCTTATAATTCAGATCTGTAAACTGTTAAAAGTGCGTATGGAGGCTAGGCCTGTATTTTAGTAGTAGTAGGCCTAGATCTATCTTGTAAGTTATGATTTGTCCGTTCACTTCCTGTCTTTGTTTTTACTTCAACATTACAAATATTTAATTTCATTAGGCCCCATAACAAAAATTATTAGTTCATCACCCCCTCCCTCATCACTTTTTTTTTCAATCAACATCAATATATAGGCCTATATATTTAAAACGGTCGGTTTTTTTTTTCCATCTTTTTTTCATTTGAAAAGCTCAGGATTTCTTGCAAATATGTTTACTGGTACAACAAAAGCATATTTTTAAAAATATATTTAATTCCATGCTTATGACTTTTTATATGTGTCACTAACCATTGATTTACTTGTAAACATCGGTAAAATGGGGACGGATTAGGAAATTAAAAAAAAAAAAAAAAAAAAAAAAAAAAAAAAAAAACTAATAATTTGTTTTATGAGGCCTTACCGTATATGATTTTTTATGTCAGATACAAAGTAATCATTCATAATTTCTCGTTGGTAAATGATCAGATATTATTTATTTCAATTGTCTTACATTATTATTGTTTTTTAATACCAACATATTATTTTTATCGTGTAAATTTATACTGTAATTATATTTTAATGTTTTAACCTCATCAAGCATTACGATAAAATGCTCATAAACCTAAGCCTTAGTTTGAAATTATTAGATTTTTAGAAATTATTGTACTGTAGGCGGCCTATGCCTGAAACTGTAAGCAATTTAGTATTAGACGTCGACAGTTGGACAGTAATGCAAAATATGTAATAAACTTACAAAGTAACCCTTAAATAAATAATTCATGCAGATAAAACTTGGACAGAATCTTGCGATATTATTTGTACCTGAACTAGCCATATAAGAACTAGAGATAAACAAACAAAAATAAAAACACACAAAAAATATAGGCCTACATCTTGTAAATTTTCACGGCGTTCTTAAAATCGTTAATATTGTATACGGTACACGTTTGAAAGAGTTCAAAATGTATTGCAATAGTCAATTATTAATTTCGTTTAATAAAAGAAAAGATTTTATTCACATCATGAAATCATGATTATTAAATGAAATGTATAAAAAATAATACTGACGCCTTATAGGCCTTTCCTCCAGGTATCATCACTGAGTATCTACGTTTAAACTTGAACCTGTAGCTGATATATTTACCTTCCATGGCATCCCGGTATCTCATTGATAGCTAAGAAAACTAAATTAAATGGAAAAATTGTAACATCACAATAGCAACAGACTCTTGTCAATTAAACAGACCACATGATGACTTCTAGCAACTGAAAGACATTTAAAGATAATGAATAATTATTTAATAACTTTAATTCAATTATCTCTTTATTATCAATAATATTAGGAAGACATCCTTCAAATTTTTAGTTAATTCAATAACTAGCAAAAGAACACTATGTCTAATTCATGTTCTTTCAAGGGACTATAACGTGCCCGTGAGTATCGACAATGGACCCCACCCCGACATGTGACGTAGGCATGGACGTAATGAGAACCGGACCCGTGATGTGATTATAGACGTGATGGGACCAGAGACCCGTGACGTGCGTATAGACGTTATGGGACCTAGACCCGTGGCGTTAGTATGGACGTGATGTGACCCTGGACCTGTGGCGTGAGTAGACGTAGAGGGACAAGGAACTGTGAGGTGATTACAGACAAGATGAGACCCGGACCTGTGACGTTAGCATGGACGTGATGGGACCCTGGACCTGTGACGTGAGTATGGACGTGATGGGACCCTGGACCTGTGACGTGAGTATGGACGTGATGGGACCCTGGAC